GTGAGACACAGATCTCATATAAACACTACGGTCAACCATCATATTGGTGCAAAGTGTTATTCTAGCCATTCGTCTTTCCAGTGTTCAGTAAGTCCTGTTCATTCATGGAGCTTCTTTACAAATGTGGACTGTGGACGCTGACGTTAGCATTGGGGACGTCTGTGCTGGACATGTTTAGCACTGAGATGCTGTTTTAGGTTTGAATAGCTTCAGTCTTTGGCTAACTGCTTTTAGTCCTTTCCAGAGTCCCATCAGATCATTTTTTAAGCAAAAAAAACTCAGTGGGCCAGTAGAAGCAGCACGCCGTCCATCACCGTTAACTGTGGATGTCGCTTGTGTGTCAGATTTTATGTGCATACCAGAAATGTGTGAATACAAACGTTTCAGTTAAAGTTAAACATTTTTTAAAAAAAATTTTTAACTTTAAAATAGATGTAATTACCTAATCAAAATGAATGTGTTAAAGTCTTGACTTTAGTTTAACTGACCCTTTTTTTAAGTTGTGTTTCAATCACAGCCATTTTTTCATCTATTTCATGGCGGGTAACAATTATCTGTTGCCTTTTTGTTGCTAGAGGTCAAAAAATGCGCTCCATGTTTATTAGAAACAGTAAAAAAAAAGATCTCAGTTTTTCATCAATTCAGGAAGCTTCAGAGCAGACAGAGACTTCAGCTACAAAAATGACTGATGCTGTGATGGCTACAGATCCTTCCCCCTTTGTCTGTTGACCCTTTGCAACTACGTCACCTAATCACATTGAGGCATCATGACGGACGTCAGAATTTAACACACCGTTTTCATCCTTGTCTTTGTGCAGCTGACCGCGCAGCACCCTTTAACCATTTTTACAGTGGAATCAGGTAAATAAAAGCGACAACTCTGCGCACAAAGGCTGTTTTGACATCCGTCATGAAGAATTGAATTGCGTGACGTCATGTGCATAGGGTCGATGTACAACATGATTGTATCTGCTGGTTGCCAAAAATCCCAAACGGTTTAAAGTGGAGAAAGTTTTTTTATTTTTGAAATAGTGTTGTTGACAAGATTTCTTTATTGTTTCCCTGCATCAACTGAAGAACTGCTTCACTTGCTTCAAAATAACGCAAACAAGTCAAAGAACACACCTTGACGTCTTTCTTCACATCATGAAGGCAGCTTGACTTCACTCTGATGGGACGCTGGCTTTTCTACATTACAATTTGTTCTTGAAATGGAGACAATCAGCTGCCCTCATATTTCATCTCGCCACTCTGCATATTCTCAGGAATTTCAACAATTCTTCTTGATGCAGTGGTAAAAGTGACAACAGGGAAACTTGTGCAGCCACTGGACGCTGACAGCTCGTCGTTCAGGCCTGTGTGGTCACAGCTTGTCAGTATCAGCTGTACTCGCACCCTCCATCACCTCCGCCTGCCAAAGGCCTGGATCAGCTTGGCGGCAGCGCTGCGATGTGTGGCCCAATCTATACTGACAGGGAAGGGTGTGCATGAAATGATAGCATACTTCCTTCCTTGTTGGAAAGTCTGTTCTTATGTTTCCTCTGTCCATTTGGCCTGCGGCCATCTTTGGGGTATGTATTCTTACGGCTGTCAAACTGCTGCATATCCTCCCTTCCATTCAGTGGAGCAGGAAGTCGTGAAGCCATAAGAGAACAATATATTTCAAACTGTAGCTTACACAACTATTGCCGACACCAATGGCCACGGATTATTTTTAGGAGCACAATTGTCCTGCTTTTACACACCTACTGGGCCCACTGCTACAGGACTAGGTCTCAAATATTGCAGCCATGACTCAGTGACAGCATTACATACTCTGATTATTCACGCTGTGCAAACACTTTACTCACCATAGCATTCTTGACACGTAAAACCGAAACCTAAACTGACAGCAAGGCTTATTTTTGGATTAAATTGGCTATTTTTTGATCACTTGCGATCATTTATGGAACATTGATGTTTATTTCCCAGACGGTCAGTGAATATGACAAAACAAAAAGAAAAGAAAATGAGAAGTTGGTGAAAGTTACAAACCTACCTCTGACAGAGCGCAACACCGAAATCCACACCCTTGATCCCAACACAGACGCACTGTTCAGAACAGGAACACTTCAGAGGCGACTCTACAGTCATGGGATGACATGATGTTCCAGAAATATCCTTCATTCCTCCATATTTAGAACCAGGTGTCAGGTTTTTTAATACAGCAGCATTAGAGAGTTTGCAAGAACAAAAGTGTATGATAGTTACATTCTAAATGTCTGCAATAGTAACAACTCAATACTTTTGAACAGTTATTTACACACATATTTTTATATGAGGAAAATTGACCTAAAAGTCTGCTGTGTAGCCGAGTATTGAAGGGGGAAAAATGAAAAGCTCCCTCTTTAGAGGGGTTCCCATTTTCCAATTTTGTTAGAGTAATGTGCAGCGTGTAACCGCATGGAGGTTTGAAGATGCTTCATCTACTTCAACTCTACAAATGATGAGAAATGGCATGTTTGTGGTCTGCCTGGCCTGTCCAGACGCTTCCCAGTGACATGTGGCCTTCCACTCAGCTTCCCAGAACCTTACACCAGAATGGAACCAACCATCATCATTCTCCAAACTCCTCCCAGTGCCAGTCAGCACTCGGTTTGGTGGGACGGCCTGAAAGCCAGTCAGTTTCTGGTCAATCCAAATCCCAAACAAGGGGGAGAAGTTTCTGCTTTTGATCGTGTCTCTGTGTGGTGTTCACCACACGCCTGACTTCCTGGATATTTACAGGTCTGAGTTAATATATGAATCTCCTTAAACCCTTTGTCTGACAACTAACTGACCTCCCCTTCCAAGATTATGAGTCAGAATTTATGTTCCCTCCTTTTTTTTGGTACAACAGAAATCCATCACCTTTTTGTTTGGCTCCTTAAATGGCCCAAAAATATACATTGAAAATTTGGTCGTTGTTTAGACCATATGTGCCGTCAAAATGTAGCCTAAACAAAGATGTTGAAAGTCAGGCTGGGTTAACCAGTTTGATGTGTCATAGTTTCACCCCAACAACTGATATTTAAACGCATAGATACTCTGGTATCTTATGTACATGTGTTTTTATCCTCCACTACATATAGATGTCATCTACATTAAAGGCAATCATATCTTTTCTGTGTCCTTTCAATGAAAATTTGCTTGTTTGAAATGTAAAAATGTTAACACATATTCAGAAGGTTTTTTTATTTTGACAAATGATCTATGGAAATTTATAGAATGTTCCATCATACAAGCAAACAAGTGTATTATCAGAGTAATTTGATTTGATTTCTTTGAATGTGTGAATAAATTTGGTTATTATTAATGTTGGGTGTAAATTTCGTGTTAGAAATACGGCACATGTAGAAAAATGTTGCCATGTTCAGTATTTGCTCCTCTAGCTGTATCTGAGAATAGAATGGTGTTCATACTGACAAATACGGTGGATTTTTTTTGTTGTAAATCTTACATTAACGGTCTGTAAAAGTGCTAGCACCATTTCTGCTGTCATCTCATCTACTGTAAAAACGCACAACTGTACTGTTTAATTTTATTTAGAGTACTATTGGAAAGGTGTTCACATTGGCATACTGTTTTTTTTTATTCTAACATCTAACAACACCATGTTGTTAGCCGTTATTCTGCTTAGCTAACAATGGCTGATGTTATTAGCCGTTAGCTAAGGAGAAGATAAAATTTACTTTTGGTCAAGTTTTATATTGTTTTCTTGGAATAACTACTTTATTGTATTAACATGTAGGATTTCAGTAAAACGTCCATCACTGCTGCAGTGTTCACTGTTAGCTTTGCAGTTACCATTAGCTGCTAATATTTTTTCTAATTAATACAGAAAGAAATGGAATTGATGCATTTTTGTTCCTGAATTAGTTTCACATGCTGTTTACACTCTCTAGGCCTGTGACGTGCGGTCAGGGGAGGCAGATGAGGCAGAGCCTCACCTGTCATCATGGAAAAACAATATATAATAATAATAAAGTCATTTATAAAGATAATTTCACCCTGTGGTTTGTACTATAAAGTACCTATTTTCCATTTAATTTAACCAAATCTGATGTTTTTTTTTTTCCTTCAAAATCGCTGAATTTTCGCATTCAAATGCTTGGAAGCGAAGCCGGTGAGGCAGCAGTGAGCCGAGCCTCACCTGGGATTGCGCAACCTCTCGCTAACTGCACCGGTTGCCACTCTATGAGAGCATGCTCCTCCTGTCTGTACGTCGCCAATAAAATGGTTAAAAACATGTATGAACTTATTTTCCATAATTTAGCTTATGTATTTAATGTACTGTGTTTTTATTGTAACTAACTGTGTGTGTAACGCGTTTCGTGTGCTGAGAAGCGATCATACGCGGCAGAAAACAGATTCGAGGTGAGGCAGGCAGTTCTCCTGCCTCATGGCAGGGGGCGCTCATGAACCCAGACATTGTGACTCCACAACTGCAGAGTAAGAGACAGTAACAGCGAGCTAGCCATGCAGTAGCTGCGCTGATACAGAGAGCGAGAAAGATGTGGTTTTGAGTTGTACTTTAACGGTTTCTCCCTTTGCTGTGGAGCACAGCACGAAATTAATAATATCTACATGTCTAAGTTTCATTGAGATAACGGAATTATTCTGCGGCGGTGCGACTGAGCATCACATGTTGACGAATAGTCTTTTTGCCCTCCAGCATTGTACTCATGCGCGAAATTTCCTTATGTAAACAATAACATACAGGGGTCTAGATTTGTAAATAATTAATTCGGTGCCTCACCAGCTATGAACCTCACCGCACGTCACTGCTCTAGGCTAATAATAATACTTCTAATTCATTAACTGTTGTGTTGACAACTAGCCTCTATTGCGCACGTATTAGCAAAAAATGTAGTTTTAGTTCAACATGTCAAATTTAAGCAGGTTAAGAAATGATGTCAAAGTAAAAAAGAGCCAGGAAAAAACCTTTTGATCTCTTGTTATTAATGGTTTTGTGATGATGATCCTGTCTGCAGATCACAACCCCTTCATTCCCTGTGGTGGTGAAGATGGGGCATGCTCATGCTGGTATGGGAAAGGTGAGCTCTTTAAAATATTAAAACACTTTATTTGAACCTTTATCTTTGTTGTAATTGAGTGTTTTATAATCACCAGTGCATTGTATTGAAGCTGTGTTGACTTTAATGCTTGGAACTCTCCTTCTATGTAATATATCCAGTTATTACAGAAAAACATTTTACAGAGTCAGAATGTTCCATATATGTCAGACCCTTATTGAGTTGGAACTAAAACCTTATTTCTTACATATATGCAGCATGTATCTGAAAAGACACCATGTATTCAAATTAAGATGCTATTTAAATAAATATTGAGTATTTTTAGCTCTTCTTGTATGGAAGTTACTGAACGGAGCCAGAGAATGTCCAGATAAACTCTCAGGTTTGTTTTGATTCCTCTCAGGTAAAGCCGACGTCTTCTTACCGAAGCCTTCATGAGTCTTTGGTTCCGACAGGAAACAGAAATCAGACGGATGTGGTGCAGGCCGACTCAGCCTCTCAGTGGACTTTAAACAAACACTTGTTCTCGTCTTTCACAGTTTGACTGACTAAAGTGACTGCCGTGACAAAATCCCTGTTATGTCTACTGGTTGCATAACGCCCCGAAGAACAATGCACAAGTCTTTCCCGACAGAAAAAAAAAAAAGTTTTTTATTGTTATTTATTTGTGTGAAGTAATGGAGTTACACAATAGTTGTGACAGAAGGAAAGTTATCAGATGGCTTCTCTTTTCACGATTTATTTCATTCCGACAGGGAGATTCCACTTCGTCTGTCTGGTGGATTCCTGTCAGGATTTAGAATATTCCAGAAAGCTCTGGAGCATCCATGAAGTCCTTTGTTCTACCCGTCAGACTCTAACGAGTTCAGAGGGTGTGTAGCTAAGTCATGGTTGTGTCATTGTCAGTAATTTGCTCCTCTGTGTCTTAAGCTAATTTGTGACACCAAATGACTTATTAGCTGCTTCAGCTGTTGGTTTTAACAAGTATTTTCATCTTCTGACAGTAACACTGTTTAGTGGAATCACATTAATGCCCCGCCCTGCTTTTGAAACCTTTTTTACAGTTTTGGGAACATTCTGTCGTGTTCAGTTTTCCCCCAATTTATTATCCTAGTGTTGCTTCTATTGCGTCATCGCTAACGGGAGCTCTTTGATCCACCCAGAAAATTCATATGACTTTACTGGTGCTTTTTGGACTTTGTCTTTGAACAGCCTTAGAAACCACGGAGAACCTCCAGAATCGTATAGTTTCTCATGTAGATGCTCTTTCCTTCATCGTTTAGTGCAACATTTAAATCTAAAAGAAGGAGAAAAAAACACAGACAAACAAGGAGTGTCATAGCAACAGATCAACTTGTTTCGGCTTGCATGACCTTGAGGAAGGACACCAGCCAAAACATGTGGTCTGTTGTTAATATTTTTCTCTCCAACAGTGTTTTTAGAGCTATATCATCCAACTCAGCTCACATCCTCCATCACATATTCTACATAACAAATTACTAGAGATAGATCTGGTTACTACAGAAGCTAAATGCTGCCTGACTTTGTTTAGGTCCAGTTCTGGGAACAATCAGTAAGATGATCTGTGACAACCTCAGGGAGTCTACAAACAAATCAATATGACTCATTTTACCCCATGTACCGCATTATAGATCAATAATGAGAGCTTTAAAATATGCTCCTACAAACAGGCATTTAGAAACTGATGTGACATGACTCCAACAAACAACTATAGTAGTAAGAGTAGTTTAAGCTCAAGCATACCTAAGATATTGACAGGACAAGGCCACCTGTGAATGAAACAAATAAAGTTTAAAAGAAAAGGTTATAAGATGGCCTAATCAAAGTGCAGACCTACATTCAACAGAGATGTGGTGTCATGAATTTGAACAGAAAACAAATGGTTTAAAGGACAGTTACCAGGCGAACATATGCTGTGAAAAATGAATGTCGTGTTGCAGACGTGTTGAGAGTTGATCATTTCCCTCCGGTCTGTGTTTACAGTCCACAGCCTAATAACTCCATAGTGACGTAGTTCAAAGCCGCCCCTGGCCGTGTTTCCATCCAGGGACCCTTCATTACTCGGCCTGTGTACGAGTGTTAGATTCCTGCGGGATTCGGTAGCAGCCGCTGCCGGCTCTGGCAGCGGCGCCTTGCTTTGTAATTAGCCCCTCGCTAACGAGCGGCCTCTCTCCTGCAGATTAAAGTGGAGAACCAGCAGGACTTCCAGGACATCACCAGCGTGGTGGCCCTGGCCGGGACCTACGCCACCACCGAGCCCTACGTCCAGTCCAAGTACGACATCCGCATCCAGAAGATCGGCAACAACTACAAGGCTTACATGTACGAGGTTTACTTTACGTTTGGTTTGATGCAAAGTCTGATAGAGCTTAGAGATAACAGATGCACGAAAGTCTCCAGAGGAATACATGAACGTTACCAGAAGCATAGAGCTGATGATTGTGTTTTTACGATTTAATGCAAGTGCAGTTCCTGGGCAGAATGTCTTCTTCTTAAGTCTTTTAAGACTCAGGATGTCACTGATAATGCCTTGAAAAAAAATCATTCCCCTTCGTCAGATATCTTTATGTTACTATTTTAGTGTGCTTTATAAGGATTTTATATGGCCCAACAAAAACATTGCCATTCTTTTGGAGGAAAATTCAAACACACCATCCCCACTGTGGAACATGGCAGTACCGTCTTCAACAGGCCTGAGAAAGCTGGTCAAAGGTCATGAGAAGATGGATAGATTGAAATATAAGGAAACCCATGAAGACTGCAAAATATTTGAGTCTGGTTGGAGGAGACAGTGTCCCAAAGGTCAAAACATCTTCATGTGGATGTTCTCTTTCACTCAGGAACTGCAGCGGGTGAAATTGTAATAGCCAAGAAAGTAATATTAAAATTGTGGAAAACTGACAAAATTCCTCATTTTAAAATGTGGCTAGCTGAATTTACTGAGATTCTCCATTTGGAGAAGTTGCAGTATGACATCACGCTCTCTGCTAATAAGTTCTGTAGTATCCGGCAGCCATTTTTGGACCTTCTCGCTCAGCCTAAGATTGATCTAAATGCTCACTCTGCCTCTGAGTCTATAAAGTCCTGAGCCTTTATAGACAGGTGGGACCATCCTGAAGTGTAAACGGTAATCAGTGCAGAGTAGCCAGTTATTTAGATAATTACCCTGATTCGTTTTTATTTTATTTCATTTTAATTTTTTAGTTGTCTTTGTTTTCATTTTGTCCTACTGCTAAGAGTATATTTTTCCTTACACAATAATCTGTTAAATATATACTGTATTTGTTTTATATTTTTGTGTACGAGTTCTGTATGTTGTATTTTGAAAAAAACTTTATATATTTAAAAAAAAAAAAAAACACCTTCACGTAACAGGAGACTTACCCCGAAACACTTGCAGTCGTGATGTCAGTGGTTACGACTGCAAGGCTTTAAAAATAACTAAAAAAAAAAAAAAGAAAGAAGATGTACAAACCAGACATTTTTGTTCCAGAATTCATTACTCTGTGTTGATCCTTCACATACATTTCTAGGAGATTGTATTGGTCAAACATGACCAATAAGAAAAAAAACAAAGCCCGTGAACAGACCCTGAAATCTGCTCCCTGTGATAAGATGCCTCTCAAATCCACCTGGCTTTAGCCCGTAGCCTTGCAGGTGTCCTTGGTATTGATGTCAGAACAAGCTAGTAGCTAACTTCATTTTCCAGTATTATTTAACTCACACCCATTTGGGAGCAACAGAAAGTTGTCGAGCGTGAAGCTGCAAAAAGCTCCAGTGAACACCCTTCTAATTTTCATGTCTGCATATCTTGATAATTACCAGTAAAAAAAAAAAAAAACAAAGAAAAGAAAAGAAAAGAAAAGCCAGATAGAACTTATCTGATTCCCCCGTTTCCTCCAGTCTCACCAATAAAAGCAGGGGCCCATAACTGGCTCCTGACACAAACAACATGGTAGGTGTGGACGGCAGTCACCGTCACTGATGAATGTGTGATAGCTGTCTCATGAGGTTCACTGTTTTCTTTTCTGATCCGTTTCTCTTTTTTGGGGTGGGGGGATTTTTAGGAGGACATCGATTTCTGGCAACTGGAAGGCCAACACGGGTTCTGCCATGTTGGAGCAGATCGCAATGACGGACAGGTCAGCCGCCCCGAAGTTTCCCACGAGAATGTCCACCGTCACAGACAAACGTGTTTCTTGGATATTTCATAGCTGCCGTCAGTTTCTGAGTAGAAATCCGAGAGGTTTGGATGTGTTCTAACAGACGTGCTGTTTTATAACTGGGTGTACTTTCCAATCCTCCAGTCATTGCTGGTTGTTGAATTGTTTTTTTTTTTTTTTTTTTTTCACTTTGGAATTCTCATAAAATTATTACTTAATTATTTTAACATAGGACTGAATTCTGGTAATATCATGACTTTACCCTCATATTTTTTTGACTTATTCTCGTAATATTGCAACTTTTTTCTCGTAATATTGAGTTTATTCTTGTTTTATAATGACTTTATTCTCATCTTTTTTTAATACTATGACTTAATTCCCAAATGACTTTTTTCTCACAAAATGATATAACTTTAGTCTCATTATTACAACATTTTCTCCTAAAATTATTAGTTTTTTCTTTTATTATTTCAACTTTATTTTGTCTTTTTTTATTTTAAATGACTTTATTCTGTTAATATTATGGCTTTATTCTGGTGTAACATTTCTCTCATAATTTAATTTTTCTCCTTCTCTACTACCCCCATCATAGGCTTAGATACATGATTTCCCTTACTTAATGAAATCCTCATTTAAAAAGTTTTTTTAGTATTTGCTCATGTTATCTTAGCTCAATGTTAATATTTGTGTGACGATCTCAAACGTGTGTAACAGAAAAACAGAAAAGAAATCTGCTCAGAGGTTCAAATACCTTTTCACAGCTGCAGGTTGGAAACATCAGCTTGGACTTCGTCTTGTTTTCTTTTTTTTTTTTCCTGATTATACCAACAAGTAGGAAGGTCACAATCTGGGGGCCATGGTGACAAACAGCAGACATGGGTGTAGCCACACTTGGTGGCACATGATCAAGAGAGCCTTGAAAGAATAATTAGTCTGCAGACCAAACACAGTCAGCACAATGAAAACAACATCAGAAGTGAGCGGTTGTGTCACCCCGCTGTGTGTTTACCACTCTGCTGGAGTTTCAGTTTTGACTCGGAGGCAAGCAGAGCGGCCCTGAAGCGGCTGGATGTTTGGGGGCTTTCTGCTGCAGGAATGCTGCAGCAGCAACACCCTCTGATTGGAAGGCTGCCGCTGCAGCCGTGTGTCAGTGACATTTAACACATAAAACAAAATCTAACTTTTTATTCCAATTAGAAGTTCTCACAGTTTTTTGTCCATGTGTTCTGTTAAAAATGTCAACTTTATGTAATGAAACAAAACTCCCAGATAAATTACCCTAATACTTTTTGTACAGGATATAGAAGTGTGCGCACCCTTACAGTAACACTTTGTTGAAGCAAAGTTTGACTCAGTTCGACTCAGAAATACTTATAATATTCATTAGACAGGGAAATAAAATGTTGTGGTAACTCATGTTATCCAAGTATCTTCAAAGAGTTGTGGATGGTGATGAAAATAATGGGGTCAGGAAGGATCTCCAGTAGCAGTCAGTCTCGCAACGAAGCTGAAAAGGCCTCTGACTGAAGACTGTTCCTATGACAGTCTCATGTCTATCATGACATCCTAGCAGCTTAGCTTAAGATAATATAGCACAGTAACATGTTCTGGATGACGGCATCAGTTGTCAGCAAGCTCTGCTAGCCAGCTCATTTGCTTGGTTGCTACGGTTCAGAAAAAGTTGAGTCATTCCAACATGTTGAATCCAAAACTCTTCTGTAAAATGCTGACTACAATTTCCCTAAAACGCCGCATACGCAACCACTGCCAAGTAGTTGACGGCTAGAGCCATGATTGAGTTATTAATCTAACACAATATTAATGACCTAGTGCATGAACAAACTTATTCACGTGTGATTTTAATATCCTTTCTTTATCTAACTGACACACAGCAATTGCGAAACTGTGTGTTTTTTCGACGTTAGCATAACATCGACAAAGATTTGTGCACATTTGTAACGGAAACGCGACTCGAGACGAGCAGCTGGACGGTGTGGATCAGTTGCTGCTCTGCCTTGAAGTCTGACTCGCCCGTATTTAGCCCGAGAGCAGGACGTCACCCTGCTCTCTATCTCCCGCTGGGTGAGGTCAGCCGTGGAGAAAGCACTCTGACTGTCTCAGCGAATACCCCTCAGCTCCCTGGAGAAGCGTTGCCTCAAAGTTTTTGGACGGAGAAAGCGGTTACGCAGCGAAGTAGCAGCTCTACCCCGCCCTGTCCAGCCCCATCTGGACGTCCCATGATGCAATGTAGCAAACCGCAGAAGAGATGTCGGTGCATCGGCCTTGGATTCTGTTTTTAGTTCAAGACAAAGGCGGTGACACTTCTCCCTCGTAAAAAGTAATGAGCCGCTCAGAAGCTCTCGGTCGACTTCTGCTGATTAAATCTGCTGCGAACTGCAACTTTGTGGCACCTCATGAAGGGGAGACGTGACTTGGCTCAGCATGAACAGCCGCCGCTCCACGCAGTTCGAACTGGGTTTATTTAATACATTGGCCATGTGACATGAATTAAAACGTCGTATATGAGAATGATGTAATGCTAAATGATGTTAGAGTTGCGCACAGAGATGCAATGTCATAGTAATTTAATACAGTTTAATCCTTAATAACATTGACTTTAGTCTGAATTCTACTCGAATGCTTTAATCTGGTTTCTCGCTCCAGATTTTTACTTCCAAAGACCTCCAAAGTTCAATTTAATGTAAAACCTGAACAGAAACAGTCGTGTACTTTCACATAGTTCTCTGCAGAAATACGTATTTAAAAGGAATGTATCTCAGTAAACAGTAAATTGTAGTTTATCAGATTTATCTTAAATCAAGTAGCACTCCATCTCATTTATAGTGAAAACTGATAGTGGAAGTATTAAAATAAAAAGTATTATTAATGCGTCAACTTGAATGGTGATGCTTAGGACTTCTGGTTAATTTCAATTCTGTTTTACTATTTTTAGTCGTCTCTTTGAGAAACACTTCAAAATCCTTCAGATGTTTCTTCCGGTTTCTCAGCAGAAATCTTCAGATTTTACAGCCTTCCTGTCATGGTGTGTAAAAGATAGGACTCAAGTACAAAAAGATTTAGAAAGTAAAGAGGTTTTAATTTGAAAAATAAACGAAGGACTGTGGGAAGACACTGATGAGGAAGAAAGATCAGAAAACTGGCTGGGAAATGGGAAGAGACTGAGGAACACATGGAGAACAGTGCAGAAAGGAAGATATACAAACACTGAGGATGGAGCGGAGAATCACAGGAGAACCAGAGGAGCTAATCACAGGTGAGTAGATGCAGCTGGAGAAAGGGCAAGGTACAGGTGAAAATGAGAAACAGCTGGGAAGGAGGACGAGATGGCAGACTGAGGGAACGATGAGAAATGAAGAGAAAACTTAAATTCAGAACCTGAAACGAACTCTAAGTAAATAAGTACAATGCGGAAACGAAGACACAATCTAAGCTAACGCCAGGAATGAACTAAAATGGAAGATCTACGTAAACAATAAAGACGTGATCACAAACCAGAACCACAAATGAAACTAAAGTTCCAACACCTTTAGATCATGACACTTCCTTTAAGGACAAAAGCAGGTCCGTGCTGTAACCAGAGCATGGGCGTTGTGGTGAGAACTTCCTGTCAGGTCAGAGGATCTTAAGAAGCTCCATCCTCTGCACATTCTGCACGTTGGTCTCTGACTTGCTTACTGAAGCAACTCGGCAGGCTGTCCCTGGTTTTGAAGGTTTCATGCTTGGTTGAATAATCCACACCCGACACACTATTCTCTTTGCTCGGACTACGTTTATAATGTCATACTCCATAAAGTCGGGACTGAACTTGTACAAACTCTTCCTTTTTTGGCCGGTTGGAACCAGCTTCATCATGCTTCTTTGTTTTAAAAACTCTCCATAAGCTTTTTTACAGACGAGCAGCTGGCTGAAAATCTTCATCCACTTAGTGGAGATTGTTAAACGACTGACTCATGGATTACTGTCACCAAGTTCCCTAAAGAAGCATTGCTACTGAGTGTCTCATACACGCTCGGTGTCTCAGTGGCTTTGTTTGATAATCTTCGCCATCCCGTTCCCCTTCTGGTTCACAGGTGTAAAATGTAACGTTTCTTTGTGGCCCTATAGGTGGCGCTTATGGCCCAACTGGCGACCAGGACTCCAGTCCATTATTCTTTAGTACCAGAACAACCATGTTTACAAATGCAGCTGCTCTCTTTATCTAGCCATTACATCTATCTAACAAAACCAGAGCAACTTGGTTTAGATAACACTTAAATACTTTTTTGTTGGATCGAAAGTGATCCACTTTTAATGTGACGTTTTCTGATGACGTTTTTTTTTCTGCTAATCATCTTGTAAAGACGTGTCACAAAATCTTGAGTTTAGTGTGTCACAGGACAGCTGAGTGAATAAATACAATGATGCAATGTTGAAACTTTAAGAAGTGTCCAGATAAGAACTTTATAACGTTCCAAAAATGGTACAAGTGATAGCTCAGCTACATTTTGATACTTTAAGGACTAATGTGGAAACATGTTTAAATGTTGCAGTAATGCCAGGACTCTCAAAGATATGCACAATCTTACTCAATTTTTCCACAGCTCTGCTTAAAAGTGGAACGAGAACATGGGTGTGCTGTTTGTTTTGTGCTGCCAAGCATTGTTTTTGTTTAAATGCTAACAGTCAAGTTTTTGGCCTCACTGACCTCCCTGACTGGTTTCCATGTTGTCTTTTTGTCCATTCTGGAAAAACATCCAGGTTCATTAAAAATATGGTTCATCATTTCTCCAGTTATTGATGATGAGACAATGGACCACTGTCTATTTGTGGTTCAGGATTTTTATTTATTATTTATGGATAAATGACTCTATTTAAAATATTTGAAAATAAAATGCAGCTTGATGTGGTGAAATACCAAGATTGGCTACTTGGCTGGGCTTTGATAAGCAGCCAATCCAGGAGTATCATTCATTTTCCTTGTTGCTGATTGGCTAAACCCCTAAGATTGGAGCTATGAAGACGGTCAATGTTAGCTTCTGCAGTAGGGCTAAAACTATTTGCAACGTGTGTATTAATGCATATAAAGTACATTTGACGTTTCAACTATTAAAAAAAGATCTTAGGTTTCAAGTATTTAAGCATTTTAGCTGTGCACAGGCAATTCTGGTTACTAACCCCACGAATACATGAGGGTCCACAATGTGTATGCTGAATATGTCTGGAGTTTTTGTATCCTTATTTAAATTTCTGGAACTTCTCCGTCAAAAGGACAAAAATGAAACCATCAGGAAAATCTTGTGATTCAACAAAGTGTTGGTTTAAAGGTGTGCACATCAATACAACCAGCTCACTGCAGCTTGGCAGCTTGTTGTATGTCTAACTCTTTTAAGTAAAAAACAAACTTTCATTTCAAAAAGGGTGTAAAAATGCTTTGAGGATTAAAGTGTCAAAAGAGGATTCCCCTATTCCCCAAGAGAATTCTCATCAATTGCGGTTGATGAAGTTCCAAAATAAAAGTGTCCAGGAACTTTCCCATGGAACAGAATGCATTGTCCAGACAGACGGACTTCTCCTGCTTTGTGAAAGCCTAGAACAACACCTCTGTGTTCCAGCAGCGGCCCCAGCTTTCTGCTGCATGACTCTGGATCCTAATAAATCAGCAGGGTGGATCCCGGCTCCAGTTGCCACCACACACTGTTTGAAGTGGAGCCTGGGGACGGTTTGCCAGGCCTCTGCTCGGTCCTGTGCGGCAATGACTTAACTGACCAAAACACAGTGCCACACCCCTCCTCACCACCAGAGGTTTGCCAAGAAAATGGGCACAAACAGGAAAAGAATTACTCTAATTTGTGCTTCAGTGCTTTCAGTTTCCCACATTGTGTTTTTGTTTTTCTGCATTCATGATTCTTTATGTCTTCGGTTGTGTCTCTTCCCTCCAAAACCACTTTCCCATCAGATCTTTCCATACTTAGCCCATGTACTCCCAATCTATCATTATCCACGTGCTACACCAGCTACCTGACGAAGTCCTCCTAAATTTTAACCTTATTTGAGAAATTAAAAAGAAAAACTGTTACGTTTTTTAAGTACTTTAAGCTTGGCCAACTCAGTGTCCCATCAAATAGTTTTTTGAGGCAACAAGGCAACAAAAACCCCAGTGGACCAAGATAAGCAGCTTTGCTTTTCTTCACTGTTGTTAACGGATCCTGCTTGTACATCAGACTCATTGGTGTAGAGAAAACGTGTGAACACAAAGGTTCCTGTTGGAACCCTTATTAAAAAAAAAAAAGTTATTTATTGTGTTAAAATTTTGAATGCATTAAAATCTACGTAATTAATTCAAATTAATGCATTAAATTCCTAGCCCTAGAAGATATATATATATATATATATATATATATATATATATATATATATATCAATCAAATTTTATTTGTATAGCACATTTCAGCAGCAAGGGATTTCAAAGTGCTTTACATAATTAAAATAAAAACAGCATGTGACATTGTGGATATATATGGATATATAAAATATCTGTAAATATTGATTATTGGCAATATCGTATATTGATATTCACCCTAAATTTTCATGTAGGTGCATGTGTAATTATGATTTTCTGCTTATAGAAATGAATTAATAAAATTATAATTGTATTATTATTAATAAAAACAGAGATTTAAGATTACATCATGTCAAACAAGAAAAACAATACAGAAATATGAGTCACCCGTGTTTACAGCCTGCGGCCGGGGCGCGGTGTGACCGGAATCGGCGTCGCAGCCGGCCGCGATGCCAGCAGGACCAGAACCAGCAGTCGCCATTTCCCGCTGGTACTTGTTTTGGTTTGTAGGGAAGAAGTCTCCAGGTCTCCTACAGTCCGTACATCGGCTCTATGACCTGAGGGCTTCGGAATTTTGTTGACTTGAATGTTTACGCTGTAAGGTAATAGTAACCTATTTTAGGTTTGTGAACTGTAAGCTCGTTTAAAGTTTTCCTAAATGACAGAGGCATGTAAATCTGGACTTCAGTCCGTGAAAGTCATTATTAGAGCAAAATGAAAGGCAAAAAAAAAAAACAAAAAAAAAACGTGAAATTATGCGAGGTAACTCCAGTTTGTATCCGAATAAAAACTACTGTAGGAAACCAAAGTGATTGTCCCAGTTAGGAGGACATACTGGGACATATCCACTTTGAGGGCCTTTCTGGTGAGCAGCGCATGGGAACATCCAGAGGATTCGATCCCACCTGGCTCTTAATTGGACTTGAGGTCTGCAGAGGGTTGTAAAGCTCATATCCTCTGACCTCAACGGCAGAGTCGTACGTGTGACCTGAAAAACGGACTCATCTTTATTATGTTGACTTTATTCACTGTCACTCAACTCTGAGTTATCAAAGTGATACAACAGAGCCATCTAGTGGCGGGTTAATACTGTTTTATTAACATTTCCTGTCTGCAGGTGATGGACAGCTCCATGCCTCTGATTGGTGAGCACGTGGAGGAGGACAAACAGCTCATTACAGAGCTGGTCATCAACAAGATGGCGCAGGTGCTGCTGGGAGTTGTTACACCTCAGACTTCTGCTGTGAAGGTACAAATGCAGCTGTTAGAACGACTCATGCTAATAAAACTTTTTTGTTTGTTTTTTTAAATACGACATAAAAGGTTGTAGTGCTCACTAATAAAGCAGTAATGGATGTGATAACCACTATATGAACATATATAGTGCTGTAAAAAAAAATAAAAATAAAAAAAGTAACCCTGATAGATTTGACTTTTGTAATTGATATAATTTTTTGTGTTGAACTGAAATGTTTCAGATCATGAAATTAATTTCAATATAGATGAGTTTTAGTGCCAAAAAGTCAAAATGGAATAAAACAGAAGTTTGCTAACATGTTCAGTTGTTACTGCAATACATATGTGTTTCTCTGAAGGAGTTATAAAGTCAAGCTATATTGACTTACAATAATTATGATTTTGATTTTCTGCTAATGGTGAGACTCAGTTCAAATTTTGAATCAAGTTTATTGCAAGTACTGTAATTAATTAATCAAACTGTAATTGAAAACTACTGTATGTTTAGCCAAACTAAGCAACATTTTCAATTTTGTTTACGGATGTCTGTTGTACAAGAAACATACAAATTTTTTATGACGGTTTATGTAACCTTTGTAAAAAGAAAAAAAAAACGTCATTAAATTGTGTTATATTTTTAACACCTGAAATTCCAGGTAATCAATAAATTGAAATTAATGTGTTAAGGTTCCGAGCTTATTTTCTACATAATCAAGAATCCCCACAGACTGTTTAAGTGGACAGATTGATGTAAAAACAATCTGGAGTACTTATCAGTGAAAAAGCCCAATATTTTTAACTCTTCATTGTGATCATTATATAAGTGATGATAAAAAATCTGAAATAATCACAAACTGTCACTGCATTCAGCATTGCAAATATAAAAATAGCATGAAAAAAATAAAAAGTAACATTATTAAATATTACTTTATAACTAGTGACATTAAACAGTGCAACTGTTCAACTAACCAGCTCACATTGTTTGTATTCAGTCATATTTTGAACAACAAGCGCAGCATTTATAGATGATACGAAAAAACATTTTGAGCATTAAAAGCAACAATCTCAACCATCTGTTTTTGGACTTTGCAAAGATAGTAAATTACAGTCCAGCAATATTTTCCCAATGTGTATGATAAACGGTACTGTAATACTAGGGGATTTAATACATTTCTTTATGAGCGTAAATTTTTTTTGCAGTTGGATTAAAAGGTGCTCAGTTTGTTGCAGCTTAGGATGCAAAACACTAGATGTCAGTCTGTCTCACTCACTAGACCTTTAATTAACTGCTGTTGCTATAGCAATGCATCAGACCCCCAGAAGATTCAGTGGATTTTTTTAAAATTTCTTTTCCAAAAACGTAACCTTTCTCTCTGTCTGTGTCCCTCCATGTTCAGACCACTCAGCCCAGGCGAGGTGAGTTTAATCCTTAGAGTAACGGCTGACCTGTTGTCGACACACTGAGGTAAAACACAACGTGTGTTTCCAGGCGGACACCGCTCTGCTTCGGCCTCTCCGTCGCAGTCGGCCCAGGGCTCGCCTCAGAGAGCGCGCTCTGCCACCACCTCTCCCAGCCAGGCCTTCCAGCCTGGTCCCATCCCAGCCTCCTCTGGGCCTGGATCTCAGAAACAGTCCCCTCATCTCAAGTAAGTCCAAACTGCAGAGCGCTGGCTTTTTGTTATCTCTTCATGTCTGTAATCAATTGTGTAAAAAGTGCAAAATGGATAAAACCAACAAAAATCCGGTTGGGGATACTTCAGTCGCCTTCTCAGCTCCCCTCTCTGTCCTTTGCAGGATTCTCTTCTCAAACTAGATGAAGGGTTGTCGGTGCCCTTTCCTCATTGCCCAATTCTGACTGTTGTTCTTTCTGTTGTGCAGCAAATCCCAGTCACTGACCAACACCTTCACAGAGACGTTACGGGGAAGCCTGACTGATGACGAGGCCAAGGCCGAGACCATCCGCAGCCTCCGGCAGTCCTTCGCTAGCCTCTTCTCTGACTGAAGAAGCTCCGCCCCCCTCGAGCTTCACGTTGGACGTCAGGTCAAAGACTAAAAAAATTAAAAAGGGGAGGGAAAAAAAGAGAAAAAAATAGCTTCATCTGTAACGGAGTCTCCTCTCTCTTCCAAACTTCGGCTTTGTGTTTTTTCTTTGCATTAATCCAGTTGTCCATCTGCTGTTCTCAGAATATTAGTGAAGTTAGCACTACAAAGGCCAAGAGATCCTCAGGATCTTGGAGGAAGTTCAACTTTCAAAGGTAATACAGTGCCTTTCAAAAGTATTCTTCACACTTTCGTCATGTTAAAACCCAAAAAACTTCACTGTATTGAGATTTTACAGCAGAGATCAACAACAGCTTCTAAGAAGAAGAAAAATAAACAGGTTTAAGTAGTAATAACCATTAGAGTTTATGGATGTAACATGACACAAAGTAAAATTAAGACATTTACAAGACGTTGTTTATTCACAGCTTCATAAATTTTGCCCTAACTGTCACTGTACCCGTTTATGCCCTTAGATTTGATGACTCGAGGAAGTCTGGCCTTTCTAGTGCTGACTGCTGTAACTACAGAAAATCATCATGTGGTAGCTTGTGCTGCTTGGTATACTGTTGTTCTGCATCCTCCCTGTGCAGCTGGTACAACCATGTTCCCGTTTGTCTCTCTTCATCTTTTCCCATTTTAAGTGACACATGGCTTCCGGGTTATTTTCAGACAGCGATGCGGTTCCACTTTGGTGTACGTAAACGTACCAAACAGTCACAGTTCACCAGCGAGCTCTGAAGCACCTCAGCTAGCAGTCGCAGACCTTCTTAGACATCCAGAGTGTGACGCAGTGACTCCTCTACCCCTGGCCTAACTTTACCAAAGTGCTTTTTAAATGGCAGATTTAGAGAAACCCCTCTGCACTGGGTCAGGAAAACAGCCAGCTGGTAGAAACATTTCTACCCGGTGCGAATGCTGTCCTGGCTTATGGCCGTCGTCTTCCATCACAGCTCAGTTGCTCTTTATCTGTCTAAGCTCGGTTAGTTTCACCTTTAAGCATTTGTCGCACTGCTGCATACCGGTGAGCAGCGAGGCCCCGTTGAGACAGAAAAGGTTCTCTTATATTCCGGAATGTTCCATATTTTCTCTCTGTTCTCTGCAGCCCTTGTCAGCTGAATTTACAGGTGCTCCGCAATACGTCTTGTTTTGGAATTCAGAGCCGTATATGGAGTCGAACTGAAAAGCTGAGGCAGTCGTAACTTCTGAAGAGTTGTGATTTATTTATAGGTTAAAATGTTTCCTGGAAAGTGAGTTGACTTCAGAAGTCCTTAAGTCTCACTGCGTGCTGCAGGTTTTCCGAGAAATTAACGCTGGTGAAGGTCAGATTTGCAAACAATGTACAGCCATTGTGTATTCATCTGTCATTCACACGAGGAAAAAAGCATTCAAACCCACGACTGAATGACAACTTTGCTTTAAAGGGCAAATATTACAATTTTCCAACTGTTTTCAGACATGTAGTGTGAGATTTTATCCATTTCTGCCAAAGAAAATAACGAGAACATAGAGCCGAGAACGTACCTGAAAGATGCAGAAGAGTCACAGCTTCCATCTAAAACAGTAGTAATGATAGCAAAGTCCTCAGCTTGCATTTTAGTTCATATGGTGAAGATTTCTGTTGTTCATCTACCTAGGTGAAGAAGAATGTTAGGAGAAATGTTATGTGACAGCAGTAGCATGGAGACCTATCAAACCAGCACCCTGTGGAGAGCTAAGAAGCTCTGTGTTGAGGCCAGTCTACCTTCAGCTGATAGCATGCGACAAAAACTGTAATTCAAAACATTATATTTCAGGCAGCATTCATATATATATATATATGTGTGGGTGTGTGTGTGTATATATATATATATATATATACTGTAATTTATGTGTCACCACAATATTTGAAGAGAATTTTAAGTTTTTCTCTACATAATCACTTGGTGTTTTACCAAATGTGGCTTAACAATTAACCACTAACAGCTGTCAAAATGGCTTTCCGAGGAAACCTTCCAATCAAACTCGGTCAGCTGAAGCTGGTTAGCAACAATAAACACACAAGAGGATCATTCAGAGAGAATGGTTACCATAACATGATATGCATAGATCACTAGACATGTTGTACTGACTCCTAAAGCTTGAAAAGTAAATATTTTCTTACATGGTAAACTTTATGCTCACAAACAATAGCTATGGTTGCCACAGTGGCCTGGCTGTCCTCTCCCTGCTTGAGCTACTGGTGGTAGCCCTAGTCCTAGCCCTTGTCCAGGTATTTTATGTCAATCAAACTGAGATAAATCAAATTAATTTCAGTAGCTCTGTTTTTCTGGTTTTGAATAGTTGCATGTGTGAATCATAGTTACATAGTTTGCTGTTAGCCAGTTATAAATTAGCATCATATTACCTTCGCAGACACTTTGTTTTACGTTTGAAGGGAGAAACCTCTGAAGAGCAGTATGACGTTAACGGCGCTATCTGTCCTGAACCAGCTTTGACCTAATCAATATTTACATTTTTTACTCATTTTTATACCACTTTTTAGTCTGGGATGTTTTTTTTTTCCTTTTTAACTACTGAATAGAAATAAAGTGATGCTGAATTAATATAAACCGCTTTTATTCACACCAATAACATAAAAAAGCCCTGCTTAGGGTTTAATAAAGTTGACCTTTAAAACTGCAGATACAAAAGCCCTAGTTAAAGCAAGCAATAAAACAGAGGAAACACACAAACACTTATACAACTGCATAAAATAACAGTAGAAAAATACACAATAGTGCAGACCCATGTAAGCTTTGTTTGTCTGTTTTAAGCCCTTTCTTTCACTTGGCATGTAAAAGCTCAAACTATTTCACAGATGAAGTCCTTGTTTGTTTTTTTATTTGAGGTCCCATAATAATGTGCAAAAAGCTTTTCTATCCCAAATATAGTTTGGTTTTTTTGTAGGAAGCTATTTTGGTGGTTATGCTAATGTTAGCTTTTACTCTAAAGACTCATTAAACCCATAGTCTAATTCATTTATTTTATTATAATACCCACCAGCCAGGAGAAACAGTTTTTAATTGTGGGTGTAATACGGTCCAAGTTTGAGTTGAGATAGCTGTTACTGTGTTAGCCATCTTTTTAGTTCCAAAGCTAACCGGACAACATCTGAAAGAATCTAATATTTCAAGTTTATGCTAGCTTAGAAATGACTGAGTCAAACAGAGGACAAACTGGATTCTAGTGGTTGAAATTTGTTTTTAATTTTTCCATCTACCCATACGTGACTTTGTGTATCCTTATTTCAATCTGGAAAGACTCAGACGGAGAAAAAGGAACAATTAAAAGATTTAATGACGGGAATGAATAACAGTTTTTTTGGCGCTCAGGCACCGATAGCTGATTTGAGCTGAGATTTGATGTGAACTCGATGAACATCCCGATAACTGATTAGGGATGCTCTCCCCCAGGGCCCGACACTGGTGGTGGAGATCGGGAAAGGGTGCTATCCTGGAGAGCCGAAGGATGTGGGTGGAGAAGGGGCGGTGGTGGGTTGAACGCAGCTGAGAACCGGCTGACGGCTTGGGTGTGGATCCTTTTATGCAGAGCTTGATTGATGATTGGACGCGCCGGGTGAGGACCAGCGCCGAGGTCGGAGATGAGCATGACGCCGATGGGCGAACGAGGGGGCGGAGTCTTCCAGCTTGAATTTTTGCTATTAGCTCCATGAGTCACAATGATCACTAGTTTCATAAATTTGTATAAGATTGTGGTGGCAAGCTGCCAACGAGGGCAGAAAAAGGGGCCAATAGAGGATTGACTTCATGGGTAAAAATGTAAATGTGGCCCATATGGATCCTTGATGTGCAATTGATTTTCTTAATGTCCATTTCAGCTCAAAGCTATAGCTCTCAGCTGGTTCTGCCTATGTGAGTTGTATCTAGTCAGACCAAGTGGATCCTATATGTGAAGCCCATTCAGAGCCCAGGCCCAGTTAGTCCCCATCATGCTTGCACTGAACCCATATGGGGCCCACCGCCACCAATAACTCTGCCTCAGAGGGTTGCTCTGCAAATTCAGCGTCTTGTAATTTCACTCTTTTGCAGTCACTCCTTATCTGTTTTCACTGTGTTAAGATGGACCAAAATACATCTCATTATCTTTACTGTAGGGATTACTCCTGTTTAGCATGCAACACCAGTATGAAAAGCCATAATCAAGCAATGAGGATTTCTATCCCTTGTGTGCCACGCAATAAAGTTGTGACATCACTCACAAAGCGGCGCGTTAGCCGTTAGCTACTATAATCACTGTGTCCGTGGCCTCTCCTGCCTTGCAGAGAAACTCAGCAGTTGATGCTTCTTTCTTTTGAAGGTTTCCCGTTTGATTTGTGTTTCTGTCAGGAAAGCATTGGATGTCACTTCTCTTCGCTTCAAACTGGAAGTTCAGCTACTTGGTGTCATGTAGTTTCAGTGGTCTCTATTTTCGAGCTGAAGAACATAATCTCATTAGTTTGACACACTCGATGTTTGAGTCGTTTGGAACCAAGCTTGAAAATGTTGTACCTACCTCAGGCTTAGCAGTGCTTTCATAAACTGACTGTACTTGCAGAGTTTTTGTGAAGCGAGGATCGTTTTATACAAGGAGTCTCATGATCTGTGCAAAGACATTCAAACTCCCTTCACCAGTTTGACATGCAAACTTTAGAAAAACGTTCTAGTGTGTGTGATATTAACCTAAGGATGATCACCATCTTAACATCATATCCTGTATGATTTAAAATGAAACAGGATGGAGCCGGTGTGCCTTGCATACAACAATTAGTGGAGTGTGATATACCAAATGATCAGGGACTCCCAAAATACTCTTCTGGGAGCCTCAGTCTCCTCTAGTGGAAGTTTACTGATAAATTTGAAAATAATTGAAAAATTAATTTGACTTAATAAAGATAAGTGAATTAAGGCTCATATATTTCTTATGCAGACAATTATATTGCAACTGTTACGTGAGTTAACCTGAGTAAAGAATTTTATTTATTCACAAACTTCCAAACCAGTCCGCCCAATGTGAAAATATAATTGCCTCCCTTGTCAAATCCTGAACTAACTGGCACACATGCCTGCTTCCTGCCTGGCCTGTAGAATAATAAAACATGTTAAATAGGACCTGTATGACAGCACGAAGCAGGTTAAAAGACAGCAAAAAGCAAGGCAGTTATGCCTCAATCTGTAGAAATTGAGGTTTGGATCAGAAATAAAGTTTTTACAATCTAACAAAGTAATTACTAAGACTTTGGAAGTTCAGTGAGTGGCTCAAAAACGAGCAAAATACTGTTTGTGCAATGGCCTAGTCAATGTACAAACGGCTTGTTATCGGCATGACCGATAACAAGCCGTTATTACTTGAAAACCATTTATTG